TTCGTGCTTCAATTGGAAGTACTTGCACTCTAAATGTTTTGCTCATTACACAAGACCTGAGCACGACCTGTCATGGTTATTGGTAACACGCACATAAATACATGTTAAAGATGACAAAAGCATACACATTAAATCACGCACCTACGCACGCACACACACATACACACAGGGCACGCGCACGCCTAGCAGACACAGCAGTGCGCAGGGGAGATACATTCATTTCATGCCCATGCAGCAGTGGGTCTCCTGTCTCTGTTTTTGGATTGTCTTTCCCCTAAATTATTAACTGTGTCTTCTGTCATCGTGAAGAGCAGATTATGCTCATTCATTCCAGAGCACGTGGGAATCTATCGGTAGCTACGTGGCTGGTGAGTTATAGCGTGCCTCTCCAATTGGCTTTGGTGAGCGCGAGGATTCAGTTGTATTGGTGCATCCGCTGGAGAAGAGTGAGAGGTACGGAGATAATAATTTTACAGACTGAAGAACCGTAAGAAAAGCATTAATGGCCTCGTTTATATTGAGACGAGTCATACAGTGAGTGAGATTATGTCCCTGTGGAAATTACGAGGACGGATAGTGGACGAGGGCGCGGGGGGTTGTTTCCCAGAGTAGCGAACAGTTTCTTCCTCTCCCTATGGAATATGGAGATGTTGCGAAAATCCCCTCCCCTGTATTGCATTTTTGAGTTATTTTTTTGTTTGTTGGGACTATTAAATGAAATAAACACCAGGGATGTTATTTTTCTTTCGGCTTGAAACAGATTGGATAACTGAAAACATAACAATTGAAAACCCTGCAGTAACAGTACATTTGTTTTCAGTTTGGATATTGGTTCAGCGTTTCGGCGTTTGCTCGTCAATAGGCTACCTCTTCCACTGAAGGTCCTAGGATGATGAGAGTTAATATATCCACTGAAGGTCCTAGGATGATGAGAGTAATATATCTAAAATCAGATGACTGTTCTGTTTTTTTAAAAAGTACTTTAAATTGGTTTCAATTGGGGAATATTATGCGCTCAAGACTAAGGGACCATCTTAAAAGTGCAATCAGCAGAACTTAGTGTTTACAGGGAAACCTCATGTTTGTCTCAATGAAATGATCTAGAGATCTGAAACCAACTTTGTTTTTCCCCCCACAACAATGACATTTTGAAATGTTATCTTGTTTATGTTTTAAATGTATTTTATGTAAAGATACAAGGTAATAAAGTATGAATAGGCCTATGATCTTCAGTGTTTCCCCTAGGATTTTTTAGAGGGGGGGGAGATGATGAGGAACAAGCGGTGGCTGTACGCTCATGGCGCTCATTCGCGCCACTGCTCGCTTTGTTTGTTACAAATATATATGTTGTAACTTGCCATTTTTTATTAAGTTAGGTCAAACTTTCAATACCTTCCTATCCATATGAGCTACAGATCTACAAACAAGTGCGTGGTTTCCTTTACCTCTTGTATGAAAGGTACAGCTTTTATTTTTTCTAAATTCCTCCCCTTTGATTCTCTAGAAATATTTGTCCTATTACTGCTTAGGTTCCTAAGTCATGTACAGATCCATTTTTCTATAGCTTAACACCCAGATGGTTTTGAAATCATACACTGAAAAAACGTTCCAATATTGTACATATTTAACATATATTCCCTACCTACGTCTTTATTCTACCAATTCTAGCATAGGTTTTACATCTTTACTCTCTTGTGCAGTTATAATATGCTTGCCTTGCCTCTGCCTTTGATTTATTGTTTTCTATTCTGTATTTTGCAACTAGGTCGAGCCATTGACCACACTATCTCTTACCCTGTGGACGTAGTTGTATTGACAGCACCTCTAATTGGCACTTCCAGCTAAATAGTTATTTAGAACTTCCAGTGTCGATTGACGCAACAGTCAGCATTTGAGCTAGCAACGCTGTTTTTTTTTACAGAAACATTTTGCACAAACACAGTCCTTACAAAGTTATGTCCTGAATGTCACCAGTTTATGTTTGGATGCAATGTTCAGACATTCAAAGAAGTAGCGACTGCATACACAATCATCCAAACCGGAAAATGTAGGCTACATTAGTACTAGCGCTAACTGAGGAAAGATTGACGTAATACAGGCGGTCATATTTAGATAACTCTCGGCTGTCAGAAACCACAATATCAATTAGCTAATAGCAATTACTATTTATAATTCATCACATCACAGGTGAGCTCACCATTGATCTAAATAATTGAGTAAAACACTTTCTAGAAATCGAAAGTAATCCGACGATGGGTAGTTTATGCGCGCCGCCGTGTTTTACTCAATAATACTCAAAGATAATAAGAGGAGACAAGATGAGTTTGGTCTGTTTGCAGTATGCATGTTGAAGGGGGTGTGTCGTCTACGATCATTCCCTTCCCTTCATTCACTTCCGGAAGTTTACCCTTCACCTCATTATAACATCTTTGGTCTGACAGACGTTTACGTGACACCCAGAATGCTTTGTATAATGTCAACAAACATGGCACCACACATAGCTGGCAAATAGCTTAGCATTAGCTCATTATAATAAGTAGGAACCTTCAAAAAAGTATTTTACACACATCATAGGTGTCCATTACAATCTATGCAATAATCAGAACTATTTGTCACCAGTGCTTGAAAACGTGAATAAAACTGTAAATACATTATTCTCCATACATACATACATACATACATACATACTGTATGCTACAGTAGAAACGACAACACGATATACAGAAAATAAGGCACTTACTTTGATAGGAATGCACACATTTCCAAAGTTATTATTTGTAAGGAAAACAACAAGGAAGGCAATGTGAGCACCAGCCAGAAAATGTTCCAGTTCGTGCAAGACTGCGCAAATGTCTGCATACTTGATCTGCGGAAACATTGGTGAAGTGCTTGGGCTCTCCTTGAAGAGAGAAGTTTGTCCGGCTCAGTAAAGCCTCAAACATAAATTGTCCGCAACACTGTGAATTAATGAGGAGGCGGAACAAACCTCAATTCAAATTGTTGTTAGAAAATAAAACTTGTTAGAAAATAAGTTGAAACATAGCCTATAGATAATTAGCAGGCAGCGCATGTTAACTGTCCTGTTGCGTAAAAATCACATTTTGGAACAGCGAGTGCATTCTGACATCACGTACATAAAACAACTCACGCTGGGGCGACCGTTAGAGATATATGGAACTCACATGTGAAAAGGTTAAATGGGTTTCCATTGCATTTTCAACTCTACTGATGGTTTTGTCACAAAAAATGTTGTGTTATATAGTGAATGTGCCTACTCTGGCGCTCTAGCCAACAACTCGCAGATAAATTTAAATTTTTTTTTTTTAATTTTAGTCATTTAGCAACGCTTATCAGGACTTACAAGAGCATTAGGGTTAAGTGCTTGCTCAAGGCACACGACAGATTTTCACCTAGTCGCTCGGGATTAGAACAGCGACTTGGTACTGCACAAGCTCTAACCACTAGCACTGCGATACAGTGCAGTATACCTACATTTGAATCATATGGACAAAATAGAGATATTTTTTGTCAAACGGCAGCCAAGCACCAGATACCCCCGTATTTATTGAAGGGCATCAAGCTCACACCTGTGAGTTATCATAACTTACTGTATTTAATCTGTAGCATAATAAACGGCATGCTTTCCCGAGTCGTAGTGGGAGGACCATGCAACATATCATCCGTTTATTTCGATATGATGGTTATTATATCAATATTTGCACATAAAAGTGTTTCCACCGCATTCTCGCGTATCTGTTTTGTTACTTTGGAATTTTCGAGAAATTAGCTGTTTCCATCGCCTGTAACTGTATTATTCGACATGTATTGCAGCATAAAAAGTGATGGAAAATGAAAGGTGTACCTTTCATAAGAGAGGTAAATGAACCCACCCCACTTGTTTGTAGATCTGTAGCTCATATGGACAGTGAGCTATTGAAAATATGACCCATAACTGGAAATATACATATAAAATCAGTGCAACAGAAAATTGAAATTCTAATAGGTGTACTATGGAGGAGGGAGGTCTGTGACCTAACATCAAGTTGTTTTATAGGTATATGTAATTTGGATAATAAACTATTGAAAATTAGATCTGTACGTGAACAAATAACCACAGCTGTAATTGGATAAATATTTGTAGAAAATCAAAGGGGAGGAATTTAGAAAAAAATTAATGGTGTACCTTTCATAAGAGAGGCAAAGGAACCCACTGCACTTGTATGTAGTTCATATGGATAGGAAGGTATTGAAATGTAGACCTGTAACAATAAATATTCATATAAAATCAGGGTGAACTGGAAATATTATTAAGATAGCATGAATGAGGGGGTCAGTGACTTCACATGGATAGGAAGCTTCAAATATAGCACCCTTAGTAACTAGAGGTAACTAATGAAAATGGTGCCTTCAGCGACTGGAGGCCATATGAAGTGTGTGCAATCTTCATATAGGTCTAACCCTCCTAAATGTGAATGCAAAACCTTTTTTTTTGTTGTTAGCTTAAACACAATCACCGGTATTGCACTTTTGTGACGGTCCCTAAACTACCGGAGCGCAAGAAAACAGCATATTGCCTCCTTTTTGGCTCTGTTAAGGGAAGAGTTCGACTATCGGTAAAAACAAAAGGTCTACATTTCTCTCTGCCATAATCTGATCCTAGATATATCACTCTCATCATCCTAGGACCTTCCGTCCGAGAGCTATTGACGAGCAAACTCTGAATAAAAACAAATTTACTGCGGTCTATTGAAGACGGAGGACTGTTTCGATCTATCTTTTCCTAAATAAGGTTTGAACTAATGCCGTTTACATTTTTTGGGCAGCAGCCAGCAGTTGCCTAATGAAGAGAGTGTTTACTTAGAGTTAAAAGAACTGTGGACTTTGACCTGTGTCCGGACAGCAGCAGCAATATTCACAGGAAACAAAACAGCTGCGAGGATCATCTTTGAGGAGTTGCAAATTGGTTTGTTGTCGCTGTTCATGGTGCTGATGTTCCAGGAATGGTGGAGACGCTAAGTATCGCCGTTATCGGAGCTCCCGGAGTCGGGAAAACTTCCATAATCCGTCAATTTATTTATAATGACTTCTCAGAGGTTTACACTCCAACCAGAGCCAGGTATGTGTACAGACCCTCTGTGATTTTGAACGGTAACATGTACGACCTGAAGATTTTGGATGTCCCGCCAATTTCGTCGTTCCCCTCCAGCTCGAGCCAGGTAAGATAGAAAGTAACCATTTGGGTTTCGATTTTTTTCATTTAGTAAAGGGAATAGCATTCTATAAGTGTTAGCGTCATTGTCTTTGACTTATCCTTTGTCAGAACCTATCCTATAGGTTTTCACAAACAGTTCTCAAAATTAAACTAAATGTGGGCGTCAAGTCCCTCTGAAATAGTTAGAGCGCGGAGACATTAGGTTACCATCCATAAATGCACTGACAGCTCGCGCGGTTCTTCAAAGTAAACACATCCTTTTGATTTTTTGTCATAATCCGATGCCACTTAGAGCAGTAGTTGCTATGGAAACTTGATTTATGACTTCAGTGGCAAGCCTAGGCTATAGGCTACATAATGTATTTGGTGTTTTAAAACACACAAGCACACGCACACATTCTCCCTCGACTCCCCACTACATGGCATTGCCTTACCACCCTCAGGCACAAGGAAGGATGTTTATGTAATATTGAATGTATCCATATGTTCTGCTTCTATGACTTCGTAAGTAAGTAATTATTGGCTATTTGCTTCTAGACCCCCTACCAGAGTGCACCAAGCTGCCCAGCCTCAGGGCACATGAGCCTGGCCAGGGTGATGGAGACTGTCTGCCTGGCTCCTGGCAGGCCTGAGGGGAGTGATGTGTGCTCTTATCAGAGGATGGAACTGGAAGCACAAGTGCTTTGACTTTGTTAGATCTGGCACACAGATTCACAGCCCATCACAGCCCATAAGTGCTACAATTCCACATTGAATCATCAACTATAGATGGCAAATGGTTTAACTTACTGCTGCTAAAAACAGCATGCTCCAACATAATCACCAATGTATTAAGTGAGCGAAAGCAGACTTGGAGCTTCACTTAGTGACCTTATAAGCTATAACTCCATCAATATGCTCCTGGCAATAGCAGGGAATGTCAGATGAAACACCATCGTTTCAATTGAGCACTTTTTCCATTGACTGCCAGGGGTTTGCTCAATCTATTTTCTCAAAGCTGTTCTGCTTTCAGACATGACTTGCACCAGTCTCCTGCTCTCTGTATCTCCTTGACTCTCCTCACCTTAGATGAGTGACATACACACGCATATATTATAAAAGAGTGTGTGTATGTACGTGATTGTATGCGTGCTTAAGGGTGTTGCTGAATGTCTAATGAAATACCTCTCTTGACCTCCTCACTGGTCCTCAGGAAGCCTGTCTGTTGTTCCCTCCCTGGTGCTGCCTGCTGGGGCTCTAGATGGGATCTCCAAGGTTACTACGGAGCTGGCTGAGACTGGCGTGAAGCACTGATCTTACTGATAGTTGCTATTCGTTATTTAGTGAGGGAACGCTTCGCGGCCGTCGCCTCCACAGCAATAACTGTATTTTTCTACACAGGGGAGCTGACACTGAGAAAATGAGATCAGGCCATGGAGGAGAGAGTGCAGCAGACCAGAAAGCCCACTGAAGTGGGTGTAACTGGTGTGAAATGGCTAGCTAGTTGGCGGTGCGCGCTAGTAGCGTTTAAATCGGTGACGTCACTCGCTTTGAGACCTTGAAGTATTTGTTTCCCTTGTTCTGCAAGTGCCGCGGCTTTTGACGAGCGACGGGTAACGGTGCTTCGAGGGTGACTGTTGTCGATGTGTGCATAGTGTTCCTGGTTCAAGCCCAGGTAGTGGCGAGGAGAGGGACGGAAGCAACACTGTTACATGGGCATCCACTGTGCTTCCTGGAAACATAGTCTAAGATCCTACACACTGAGGAGTGAACAGCCTCAACCCAGCCAGGCACAGCCAGTTAGAGCCAGCAGGAGGACAGGGGAGAATTCAGGATTCTAGAAGTGACTAGGAGAGAGAAAGCAAAGAGGAGAATATGACATCAATAGCTTAGTATGTGTTAAGAGGTCTGCAGTGCGCTTATTTTCTCCAATCCGGGGAGCGCAGCAACACAAGCAATCTGATTTAGTTTGCTCTTTCTTTAGCTAAATGGCTCTAACCCACATTAGAGCACACAGTTTGGCAAGTGCAAACAGCAAGGAGAAGACCGGATGGATCACATTATAGAGGCTGGGAGGTTGAGAGTGTGTGTGTGTTTGTGTGCCTGTGTTAGACAGTAAATCCCCCCAGGCACCTCTTCACATAAAAACGTGTAAAGTGCACATCTGTTCTCTGACTCCTATGGTGTCATAATGCTACATGAGCATTGTTGCTCCAGTTCACACATTACAGCAACATGATTCATTATGTCTGCCTATAGATTAGTAATATCAGTCAACAGTTTTATACATTTCGAATATCTGGCCTCTGTTGAAATGGTAGGAATTGAGATACGTACATAACAGCCTCAACCTCTTCAGGGTGTCTAGTTTAAGACATCTGTATACAGTTTTTAACCAACACAGACCGAGACATCTCTACCAGTACTTTGGCTTAGATATAGCCAGGGAAAAGCATTTGTTGAGTGCAACAAGAGCACTGCTATCAGGCAGATTGATGATGGTTAATTTCCTCAGGAATGGCTCTGAGAGCAGCAGCCTTACCATCTCTCCTACTGTCCTCTGTGTTCTGTTCTGTATTCCAGCCTCTGACCCATGCTGGCTAGTCATTCTTTACTGGCTGTGACAGGGGTGGTGAGGCATTCCCGCTCTCCACTCTGAGCAAGCACTCTCCTCTCCTTTTTTCCTTCCATATTCAATGAGCCAGCAGCTGGCCCATGGTGGGCTTCAGAGGGGAGGCTGGCTGGGTCAGGGTCACAGGACAGAGCGCTCTGGAACAGGGCCAGAACAGAACAGACACAACGACCTGATTGAGATGTACTCTTATTGTATTTGAAGCTGATTGGATTAAAGCACAGTGCCCTGCTGAAGGACTAGAGGGAATAAAGAGACTAATAGAGACGAGAGCGGAGCTGCTGCAGCAGAGTCTAATGGCCACCATAGAAAGCCCGATTCTTTAAATGAGGTTCCTCTTCCCCTACATGGTACCTGGGTGGGGAGGAAGATGATGAAGTCAGTACTCCTCCATGCTTATGCAATGTGGCTAGGTTTCTGTTAGGTAATTGCATGTTGTAAAGGTTGTAGTACTGTACTTGTACTTTGGCTTTGGTGCATCATTTAGACTCAGGATGTGCTTCTTTAGGTCTCTTTAGGCAGCAAGGGCAGACGCCACTACATTATTTACCTTGGGGGACTCTGGTGGTAATAATCATTTATGTGCTGGCGGGGCTGCTGTCTGTGTTAATGTGTTGCTGTTTGCATTCCCAGAGCATCTGTCACAGTTTGTCGATAGGATTTGATGACCAGATGGACTTACCTGATAGTGACAATGGATCCAATTCCAATTTTTCCCCATTCTTTTTTTTCCCATCTTCTGATAGTGTATCATATCACCATGACTTCCTCCCACACATAATGTTCTCTCTCTCTCTCTGTCTTTGTCTTTCTCTGCTCTCTGTTTCCATTTGCTTATCTCTCTCCTACTATGATAACGTATATATGGAATAAAATTGATCACTTTTACTGTTCATTGCATCAGATGAATCATACATTTTGTATTTATTCTGGATACGCTCTCTTGGCCCTTTGTCAGCCTCTGCAGATAGGCTCTGTCACACACACTGGCAGAGCTGTCAGAGATATGTGTGTGTGTGTGTTAAAAGGCGGGCGCTATCATCAGGCAGCTGGAGGAGACGACAGATCAATGCCCAGTGGAACCCCAATGTTAATAATAAACACTGCGAACACTCTCAGGTGTAATGTGGGTCTCCCTTCTGTACAGTACATCAATAATAATGAGAAGCTCAATCCCAAAGGGACAGAATATGTTTTATTAACATTTGAACAGTGTCTGAGGTATGTCTCCAGTTATCATCCATTCCCATTCATGACCATGTTCTCTACTCTCTGGTGTATAAATATTAATCTGACACCATTAGCCTGCTATCATTGGGAGCAGTGGGATGCCAGCTCTATCAGGGCCTGGTAAAAAGTGACTAAGGACCTGGGTTGTCAGGGAAACCTGCTCAGTTTGGCACTTGAAGGGACCGGGCTGAGCTGCTGTCTTTTTGCAGAGGTTTCAAAGGACCAACTGGAGAAAGCACTATACCAGGGCTCTCCAACCCTGTTCCTGGAGAGCTACCCCCAGTTGTAACTACTCAGCTTATCAAGCAGCTAATTATTAGAATCAGGTGTGCTAGATAGGACCTACAGGACAGTAGCTCTCCTGGAATAGGGTTGGAGAGCCCCACACACACACATGCACACACACACACACACACACTTTATATCACTCCAGTCATGAAGCTCCTTTCCACTGCCTCTTTTCTGTCTCTCTCTTTAGTGTTATCTTATACTCTGTCCTACAGGTGTGAGAAGGTGGTAGAGTGAGGTTGCAAGCTGCAGTGTTGCCATTGTTTCTGTGTACAGAGCTCCACCTCCACATAAAAAAAGAGGACTTGGATGACAAAGAGATATGAAGCGAGGATGCAAGACTCTATTTTTAGCCCACAGAGAAATGGGGGTGCATTTAAAGGACCTAGATAGGGAGGGATGTTGTCATGTAGCGTTATACTGCATATTGTCTACTATGGCCAAATCTTGCATTTAGGATGACAAAGTCATCCAGTTAAGAATGATGTAAGAAGAAGCAGGAGAGGAACACAGGTATGGAAATATAATTCATGTAAAAATAATGGGGGGTGGGTGGGAGGCAGAAAAGACTGAGGCAGAAAGAGGAGAGATGGTAGAGGAATGCTGATGATGTGTCATCTATGATCCCTACACCCCTGGATTCCTCCTGGAAACAGATTGAATCCATCTGCAAGGAGAAAAGGGGCAATAACAGCAAAAATGTATAGAATTTAATATCCCTACTTGCTGCATTCTTTTCACTGTCAACCATTATGTTCTGTCTATATTTTGGCCTCCCTCCCCTCCTCCTCATTCTCTCACTCCCACCTTTGTGTGTAATGATCTCAGTGCTACAGTGTTTGCCTCCACGGCTGATCGCCCTCATTATCTTTCTGTGTGAGACTCTCCCTCTCTCTCTCCCTCACACACACATGTAGTTGTTTTGTCCTTGAGCTGTTCTTGTCTATTAATGTTCTGTATTATGTCATGTTTCATGTTTTGTGTGGACCCCAGGAAGAGTAGCTACTGCTTTTGCAACAGATAATGTGGATCCAAATAAAATAACAAAATCACACACATACATACATACACACACACACACACACACACACACACACACACACACACACACACACACACACACACACACACACATTCTTGTATAATTAACCTTGTGGGGACACACAATTCAGTCCCATTCAAATTTTCCCTAACCCTTACCCTAACCCTAAACCTAATTCTAAACCTAAAACTAATTCTAACCTTAACCCTAAACCCACTGGAAATAGCATTTGACCTTGTGGGGATTAACAAAATGTCCCCTGTTGGTCAAATAAATGTGTTTCTTTACTATTCCTGTGGGGACTTCTGGTCCCCACAAGTATAGTTAAACACACACACACACACAAACTCACTAGTGCTGCAAATCTCTCTAAATTAGATGAAGGCAATTATTCCTTGTCGACATGGATATGTTACCATTGCCATCATTACAGCTTACATTGATCATCATCTGCTCTCAGATTCTGCCCCATTACTGCATCCGATTCCCCACCAAAATGACTTATTGACAAACTCCCTGTTTAGACTTATCTACATAATACAGGATACATTTAGATTACTCCTCCAGTGTTATCCTGTTGATTCTCATTACTGAAATTATATTCAGATCTCCTTGCCGTATTAATTTCTTACAGTCTGTTTAGTAAGCTTGTGTTGGGGGTGAGTGAAGGGGATTGATTGTGCATTGTGCCACCTCACCCACTCCCTGTCAGCCTGGTGGGTCTCAGTCCAAGGGTTATATTCACACCCTGTTTGTTGATCCATCGCTCTACCCTTCCCATCCACCTGCTGCTCGTTAATCTCTCTACTTCTCTTTTCTCCCTCCATACCTCCCTCTCCAATCACACTCTTCCCTTTCTCTCTCCCTCCCCCCTCTTTCTCCATCTCTCCTTCTCCCTCCCTCAGCTAGCAGAACCACTTATAGATTCAGCTCACACAGGTAGAGCTGGCGAACATAGAGAGAGAATGAGAGGATGAGAGTGTGTGTGAGAGAGCGAGAGACAGAGAGAGCGGGAGGGAGGAGATTCGGTCACTGTGTTATGGCTGAAGCAATTGCCTCAATGGCTGTAGCTAATCACTCCCATTGTGCTACGTGTTTTAAATATTGTTAGCAAATCAGTGCGTACAGCAGGGCTCAACAGTGTAGCGCCGTGGGTCCAGTGTGTTTCTAGTGTTGCACTTGACAGGAGACTGGCCCTATTCCTGCTCGGCCAGGGCTTTGTTTCTCTGTTTCTTGCCTCAGCCACATGAAGACCAGAGCAGTGTGCTAGGCCTGCATTGTGCACAAAGCAGGCAGAGTCAGACGACATGTTTTATGGCTTCAGTCTGGTTTACACCAGGACTATCTATTTTTTATTTTTTTATTTAACTAGGCAAGTCAGTTAAGAACAAATTCTTATTTACAATGACGGCCTACACCGGCCAAACCCGGACAACGCTGGTCCAATTATGCGCCGCCCTATGGGACACCCAATCACGGCCGGTTGTGATACAGCCTGGAATCTAACCAGGGGGTCTGTAGTGACACCTCAAGCATTGAGATGCAGTGCCTTAGTCCGCTGCGCCACTCGGGTTATCTATCTGACTCAGAGATGCCTTTTTGACACCACACAATTTCAATTTCAATCTAGTGAAGAGAGCAAAACATCCTGAGAGCTGTTGAATAATTGATCGTCATCCTCTGTGGCTACTTCTGTTAAAAAACCTGGTCAAAGAACTCCCTAGATAGCAGCTATAAGCATTATGGACTATCCTCACAAGCCTCGCTGTTTTAGGGAGCAGAACAAATGCCATTTGAAGATTTTATTTTGGTTCTTGAGATATAACTCATTATATAAATCTGTTTCACTGGTCAAGGCAGTGGCAAGTGAAAAAATATGTCTTCAATATCCTTCCTATCATTTGACCTTTGTGTGTCTGTAGTGAGTGATTTACATTTACATTTTAGTCATTTAGCAGACGCTCTTATCCAGAGCGACTTACAGTTAGTGAGTGCATACATTTTATTTAATTTTTAATTTTTTTCATACTTATAGTGATGTAGTTGTTTGTTTAGGGATCACTCATGTTTCCCCACAATCTGTCTGTCTCTCTCTGTCAGGAGTGGCTGGACCTGCGCTGCAGAGGGGTGCGTAATGCCAATGCTTACATCCTGGTGTATGACATCTGCTGTGTGGAGAGCTTTGAGTACGTCAAGATGATCCGCCAGCAGATCGTGGAGCACAGGTAGGGGGACGCCACAACACCGTGACACACATGGACCAGTTAGGTAAAACACATGTGGAGAGAGCCATTAACCGCCACAGACGACCAGCAGTCATATATGAAACATCCAGCTGATCTGCTTTTACCACCACTGTGTCCTTACATTAATACGAGACCTCATTAATGACAGCATGCAATCACTCTGTCATATACATCAATACAATTACACATTCAATCTGTGTGAAAACAGTGACAAATGAGCCACTTGTGGTTTTAATTCAGGAGTCTCCCCCTGCCCAACATTCTGACAGCTCACTAATGAGGTGACATTTGATTCTGGCATTGATGGGCGAGGGTGAGTACAAGGCGAGTGACGTCCTGATGATGTAAAAGAGAATTGGACAAAAGATCTCCTGTCATTCCAACTGCTGGCATCTGCACCTGCATACATTTGCAAATTGATAGGGGGAATGGGTGGCCCTCATTTGTTGAGCTCTAAAGAGGTTCACCTCTTTGCAGCTCTGTGACGTGAGCACCATTCCCTCCACTGTGCTTCTCCTGAGCTCCAGGTGAGAAAGGTTGAATGTTCTACGAGGCTGTCCTGATCTGTCCTGATCTGTCCTGATCTGTCCTTGATGGTCTGACTGGCTGGGTGTGTGGCTGGCTCACTGGCTGGCTGGGTGGGGGGCTGACTGGCTTTGCTGGGTGGGTGGCTGACTGGCTGGGTGGCTGACTGGTTGGCTAGCTAGCTGGGTGGGGAGCTGGCTGGCTGGCTGGCTGGTTGGCTGGGTGGGTGGTTAACTGGCTGGCTTTCTAGCTGGCTGGCTGGCTGATTGGCTAGCTGGCTGGCTGGGGGGCTGACTGGCTAGCTGGCTGACTGGGTGGCTGGCTGGCTGGGTGGCTGACTGGCTGGCCTGTAGCAGAGCTGTCTGTTTATGACAGGACATGCATTATTTAGAGCAGAAAGGGATAGAGAGGGTAAATAGAGTGAAAACGAGAGTAGGAAAGGGACATGAGGGAGCGATAACAGACTGATAGATATGAGAGAGGGATGAGAGGGAGGAAAGCATAAGGACATGGTGAGGGAGATATGGAGGATAGAGGGATGGATGGATACGTGTCCTGATGAATAAAATCAGAGTAATGGAGGTGACATCCAGGCTCAGGTTATTGAGATTTGTGTGGCCTAGCAGGGCGGAAGATGCCTGGGAGGAATTGTCCCTGTCTTTCTGCTGCTGCTTACTCCACCCACTCCAAAACAAACACACAGGAACACACACACACACACACACTCACACGGACACACAATATACCTCACCCAGAATAATCCCTGTCTCGTCAGTTTTCTGGCTGTGGTTGCTTCCTGCCCAAAAGCCCATCCTTTGATGTAATTAAAACTCTGACACACACACACACACACACACACACACACACACACACACACACACACACACACACACACACACACACACACACACACACACACACAAACAAACACTATCCTCTAACCTGCTGCTCCTGAGACCTTCAGGCCTGAGTGGGTATTTGAGAGGATAGCAGCCTGCTTGATGTTGGGATTAATGTTTTTTTTTTCACCTCACAGCCTCATTACCAAGTTGAATTTAAACCTCTCAGTGCAAGTAGTTCAGACTGTGTTTATATGGATGTGTTAAGGTCTGTCCACCATAAGTCATCATCACATCTCAATTAGATGCAGGTTCATCTCAAATGTATAAATCCTAAAGTTAAATTGAGCTTTCTTGTAGGTCCTCTGTAGGTCCTCTGTAGGTCCTCTGTAGGTCCTCTGTAGGTCCTCTGTAGCTCATTTGATTGCAATTCTTTCTCACCTTTATCCTTCTGCTCTCTATCTCCATCCCTGTAGGGAGGGCAGCAGCAGTGAGGTTCCCATCCTGGTGGTGGGCAGTAAGAGGGACCTGCAGCGCCAGCGCTTCACCCCTCGCAGGGCTGTCTCTGTGCTGGTCAAGAAGACCTGGAAGTGTGGCTATGTGGAGTGCTCGGCCAAGTTCAACTGGCACGTGGTCCTGCTCTTCAAAGAGCTGCTGGGCATCGCTGTGGCACGCGGCATGAAACAGAACCACACCCCCGGGATCCGCCTACAAGGGGCGCTACAGAGGAACCGCTGCACCATCATGTGACCCAGTGGACTCCCTCCAGTGTAGGGTGAAGTTGCCCCTAGGCGCTGATCTTGGGTCAGTTTCGCATTTTCCCCACTAATGGCTAAGGTTAGGATTGAGGAAGGGGAACCTGATCCTAGATCTATACCTGGGGAAACTTCACCCCGGAGCAGTTCCTCCCCACCTATGTCAGAGCCATAAGAGCCTCACAGTCACACCTCAGGGGAAATAATAGGAATATGGAGAAGAAGACTTCAATGTAAACAGCTGGAAAACAAACTGAGGCCTTCTGCTTTACTGAGCTGATTTTCTTATGAGGTTTATGTGACTCCTGTGCTGTAGCTGCTAGGACTGACCTTTGGTCTTGTACAAGACGTACATCTTTATCACCTATCAGAACACTCCAGTTCTGTCACAATGTTCTTATTGAGAGAAAGGAGGAAGAGGAAGAGGAGGAAGAAGAGGGTTTGTTAATGAATTTAGAGAAGTAGAGCAGCTACTTTACTTCCACAGCTCTGGTCAAAATTACACACACAATTATCACCACACCACCAGGTGTGGTACTGAGCTCCCCAGATCATAATGCAGCTAGACTAGAATACCTCACATAGAATGTATATACCCAGACAAGGTAGGAGACATCCAGAGCATACTATGTATTGGCATCCTACCACTCAAACAAACATAATACTTTCTGGAAATGTCAAAGCAATGTCTGAATTGTGCAAGATATTTTTATTGTTTGAGAATGTGGTAAACGTGTCCTATGATTACAGACACCCTGTGACAATGTTTGCACTGAAAATGAGTACCTGTACTGTATATACGTACGTGCATCATTCATTTGCATGCTTTTGCAGGTCAGGGTTTAATTGCACTGGTGTGATTATGTGTAGCTGTAATTGATTTACCTGTGTGTACACTATATATACAAAAGTATGTGGACATCCCTTCAAATTAGTTGATTTGGCTATTTCAGCCACACCCGTTGCTGACAGGTGTATAAAATCGAGCACACAGCCATGCAATCTCCATAGACTTACATTGGCAGTAGAAAGGCCTTACTGAAGAGCTCAGGGACTTTCAACATGGCACCATCATAGGATGCCACCTTTCCAACAAGTCAGTTCGTCAAACTTCTACCCTGCTAGAGCTGCCCCATGCGCAATGCCAAGCGTTGTCTGGAGTGGTGTAAAGCTCGCCATCATTGGACTCTGGAGCAGTGGAAATGCGTTCTCTGGAGTGATGAATCACGCTTCACCCATCTGGCAATCTGACGGACTAATCTGGCTTTGGTGGATGCCAGGAGAACGCTACCTGCCCCAATGCATAGTGCCAACTGTAAAGTTTGGTGGATGAGGAATAATGGTCTGGGGCTGTTTGTCATGGTTCGGGCTAGGCCCCTTAGTTCCAGTGAAGGGAAATCTTAATACTACAGCATACAATGACATTCTAGATGATTCTGTGCTTCCAACTTTATGGCAACAGTTTGGGGAAGGCCCTTTCCTGTTTCAGCATGACAATGCCCCCGTGCACAAAGCGAGGTCCATACAGAAATGGTTTGTCGTGATCGGTGTGGAAGAACTTGACTGGCCTGCACAGAGCCCTGACCTCAACCCCATCGAAAACCTTTGGGATGAACTGGAACGCCGACTGCGAGCCAGGCGTAATCGCCCAACATCAGTGCCTGACCTCACTAATGCTCTTGTGGCTGAATGGAAGCAAGTCCCCACAGCAATGTTCCAACATCTAGTGGAAAGCCTTCCCAGAAGAGTGGAGGCTGTTATAGCAGCAAAGGGGGGACGCACTCCACATACTTTTGGTAATGTAGTGTATATGGTTATTATCGGAGAGAGTCAAAAGCAGCTGAGAGGTGTGTGTGTGTGTGTGTGTGTGTGTGTTGCATACCTAAGAAGCTGCATGTATGGGCACAGGCTCAGTTTTCCTGAAATTATATTTAAACGGTTTAGGCCATATTAGGACTGGGCGCAGTGTTGATTTTTTTTCTAAAGAAAGGTTATGTAGCATCTGTATGAGATTCTATGAAGATAGCAATGGTCGTTTCTTGAGTTTTCAATGGAAGTGTCCATCCATTGAAATTAGACTGTTTGTGTGAGTGTGTCATGTGTACAACATGAAGGGCTACATTTTTCTAACAGAAACATCACTTGTATTTATTTTTTAATAGTAGGTGTTAGATGTTTTGTTTTTGACTATGGAAAAATTAAATCTGTTGTGCACAATAATTGGCCTTTTTGTCTCTTCAGTGAGTATTTTTTCATACGCTGCTTATATTATGCTTAATGTTTCATTGCATCAATCATTGCACAGAACACACCAGTGATGCTACACAACTTCACATAAATGGGACAATGTCGTCACCGTGTGGAAAACAAGTGTCATTGAAATGTGCGTCTATCTTGGTAAATACATGTGGTGCATTCCTGACAATTCGGAAAACTCGGAACCTCCTAGTTAAAATTCACTTAAGTTATTTGCGTAGAGCATCCTATTGGTTAATTATGATACTTTCCAAGTGGGAAACTATCTTTCTACAACAAATTTCCAAGTCAGACATTTCTGAGTTTCCGAGTTCCGAGTTGTCTTGAAAGCACTTATATGCTAGGGCTTATAGTGCAACTATTTCCCAAGGTCAAATAGGATTTATTAAAACTTGATTTAGAAACCAACAAATTCTAAATCATTCGGAAGATGAAGGAGACATCTATAAACACATTCTCCTTCATCTGCCAAATGTCAGCATCTGTGTAGATTCTAATTTTGCATGCTCAATGTAAAAAAGAAACCGCAGTAATGAAATTCGAATCAAATAATAAACTTGCTATAGCGCCGACACCCCTAGAGGGCGTAGTTCTTCCTGACGTCATGTATTACCTCTAAGTGTCAAAGCAATCACCCCAGTTGGTAATACACTTGTGTCACCAGGCGACAGGTTCATACATAATACATCCTCCTATCAGGCTGCAAATGTGTCTGTTTTCTCCTTAACTCGATTAAATAGGGGGCCGCCGAAAATAAAACATACTGTCTTAATAAAACACAATTTTCCACCACCATGCTATGGCGGCTAGCCTTCTACTTCTGGACGTTGTGTACAGCAGGGGTAACCCATAAGAGTCTAAACCCTGTATAAGCCAGGGGAGGGGAGGGTTCCTTGAAGTATCTCCAAAAATGTATTTAAAAAATATTTGATTAAACATTTTATTTGGCCTTACTGCTATTAGCCCATACAAGCACATTGAATAACAGATTCACTTCATTGAACAACAGATAGCCCCCCCCCCCCCCAAATAAAAACAAAGGAAGTTTGTTCTGAAGTGTCTGTCCTATATCTGAGAGATATAAGAAAGATCAGGAATCATTCTTGTTTTTGGACATACAGTGTTTGTATTATATATATATTATTTTTTGTACTTTTACCCCATCTTCATGATATCCAAGTGGTAGTTGCAGTCTTGTCCCATCGCTGCAACTCCCCTACGGACTCGGGAGAGGTGAAGGTCGAAAGTCAGCTTGCAGGTGCCCGTCCCGCCACAATGAGTCGCTAGAGCACGATGGGACAAGGAAATCCCGGTCGGCCAAACCCTCCCCTAACCCGGACAACGCTGGGCCAATTGTGCTCCGCCTCATGGGTCTCCCGGCCGGCTGTGACACAGACTGGGATCGAACCCGGGGCTTTAGTGACGCCTCAAGCACTGCGATGCAGTGCCTTAGAACGCTGTGCCACTCGGGAGGCTTGACATATGTATTTAACCCCTTATTTTTGGCACTAAACGGTCTCCATATATACTTCAATTAATTTTTTCAACTGGTAACGGGATCTTCAGACGAGTCTTGTGAGGCCTGTGGGCATCCTAGAGCAAAACCGACATGTACATGTTCTTGAGAGTCTCAACTTTCCACAGAGGGGTCATATTAGTGTGTAGCCCAAACTGTTCGGACGCTACAGACAGAAGTTGGCAGATTGGCTGTACCGACATTAGACGAGTCCCAAGACGCTTGTGGGGGTCGTAGAGCAAAACGGAGAACACCATCGTATTCGTGAGAGGGGTCATAAAAGTTTGTAGGCCAAACCGTTCGGACGCTACATACGATTTTGTGAGAAGACCGATTTTCGGGATGTCTCATGGTCTGACAAACACCACTCTAGCTCTGTCACCTTTCACCGCAGATGCGGACATCGGTGGATGCAGTGGATTGAGACGCATCCAATGCAAAAAACAGACATCTCTAGTTTAAACGGCCAGATTTTTATGGGGATTTTTTTATGATGCTAATTAGATTTCCGCAGGGGTGTGGACATCGACTTTAGGGGGGTAAACGACAGACTGGTGCAACCTGATTCACTGAACGCTGTACACAACACATTAAGCGTCTGTCCTAGCCACCCTAGCATGGTGGTGGCACGCCATTAAAAGTAGATAAGGAGGAAACCAATGCCTTTGCTGCCTGAATGGAGGATGTTTTATGTACTCGCTGGTCACTGATTTCAGCACCCAAAGAATAACCCACAATTACACATAACATTGTGCTGTGTAACTGCGGGCTATTGTTTGGGTGCTGAAATCAGTAGTTTTAGATAAAACTTGATTTTATGTGGCCTACGAGGTCCAGTCCGCCCACACTAGTCGCCGCTCAACTCCAATGTAAATCGTGGAGTTGAGTTTAGTCGTTTACACTTGCTACTGGTACTGAACATGAATGAGAATAGACACACAATTAGGCTATATTGCAAGTCTCTGTAATGTTCCCAATTTATCTTAGTTATTGCAAAATATTCCATTAGGTTTAATATCAATATTTAATCCCCCAAAAAATCCAATGCATTTTATTTGATCACAAGGTCATACAAAGGTACATGAATTTATATGAAGAGCTTCTTCAAAAAACAACATATAAACAATGTAAAATATCAACAGAAATAGTTAGATACTAACTGATTTGTGTATCAAGATGGATTAGTATAACATTTTTGGATAGTCACTTATGGCGGTATTTAAAAAACAGTAATACCGCCTTTGCTATTCCAGAACTACCAGCGTTTGTCCCAAAGGTAGCTATCAGTGGATCAGGACATACATACTGAACAAAAATATAAACGCAACATGCGACAATTTCTACAATTTTACTGAGTTACAGTTCATATAAGGAAATCAGTCAATTGAAATAAATTCATTAGGCCCTAATCTATGGATTTCACATGACTGGGCAGGGGCGCAGCCATGGGTGGGCCTGGGAGGGCTTAGGCACACCCACTTGGGAGCGAGGCCCACCCACTGGGGAGCCAGGGCCAGCCAATCAGAATTAGTTTTTCTCCACAAAAGGGCTTTATTACAGACAGAAATACTCCTCAGTTTCATCAACTGTCCGGGTGGCTGGTCTCAGACAATCCCGCAGGTGAAGAAGCTGGATGTGGAGGTCCTGGGCTGGCGTGGTTACACGTGGTCTGCGGTTATAAGGCCGGTTGGAC